ACCCACTTTACAGCAGACGCTGCGCCAATCCACCTGTCGATCTCCCGCTCCGTTCTTCCCCCATTCGTGAACAAGATCCCCAGATACTTAAACTCCTCCACTTGAGGGAGGACAACCCCCCCTGACCCGGAGAAGGCACTCTGCCCTTTTCTGGCTCAAGACCATGGCCTCGGATTTGGAGGCACTGAGCCTCATCCCGGCCGCTTCGCACTCGGCCGCRAACCGCTCCAGCGAGAGCTGCAGATCTCGTTCCGATGAAGCCAACAGGACCACATCATCCGCAAAACAGAGATGCGATCCTAAGGCCACCAAAACGGATCCCCTCAACACCTCGGCTGCGCCTAGAAATTCTGTCCATGAAAGTAATGAACAGTTTTGAACCACTATACCAAAAACACTCCCATCTTTACTGCTAAYTATTTTCTCACTGTTTTTGTTTTGGGCAAGAAAAACTGTGACTAATATGGCTTATGTCTAAACAGCATTCCCTATGTGGGAAATATCTGCACCGCCTCCTCCTCCTCCTCCTCCTGTCCTGATCTTCCTCCTCCTCATTCTTTTCTTGCACCTCCTCGCTGATGACCAAAAAGGCCGGACGGACAGTGGTAAAGATGACAAACAGTTCTGTCATCTTTCAGTAATGCCTCAAATGGAGGCAAAGCAATCAGGAGCTTCTTAAAGACCGATGCAAATGAGTGAAAATCGCTAAGTCATTTACAGYAGTGTAAAACCTGATTTATCTTGCAGAACAAATGAATTATTGTGAAATTTTACATCTTCACAACAGGGTTAAACAATCCATCTTTCCAGGCCTTAAACTATGTACTTATGGCCAAAGTACAAATGTTTGAAACTGTCAGTATATTTTACTGGCAGCTACAGGCAGGTTTCAACTATCAATCATCTGTGATGGCTTCTAAAAGCATAAAAACATGGGCCAYATCCTGGAATTTCTTTCAATTCGCATTTCTTTGTAGAAGAACCGATGCTGCAACAAAATATCAATTCTACRGTATGTTCCATATTACCTTAATCAAAAATTAGAGRCTTTGCTTTTYCTGTGAAAGTGCAGTGTGAATGTTTAATGCTGAAAGATTCTTGCTGAATAGCTAAAAAACCTGAAACTAGCCTAAAAATAGCTAAAATAAAAAGTAGCTGAAATAGCAGAAATTAGCACAAAGAAACAGAAAGAGCATGTTCGCTAAATTTAACATTAAGACGCTGAAATTATCACAAAAAGCTGAATTTAGYTGAAAAAGTAACTAAAAACACAGAAAACAGCCAAAATTGCTGAAATTAGCACAAAGACGACAGAACATGTTTGCTTAATTAAGCATTAAGAAGCTGAAACTATCACATAAAGACAAATTTAGATGAAAAAGTAACTTAAAGACAGCTGTAAGAAGCACAAAAAGTTYGAAAAGGTCAGGATGACGGCTAAAAAAGACATCTCAGGTCATAWCCATGAAGCCTGAAGTTCAGGTTTAGTGTTTTTGATGATGATTTTGAAAAAACACTTTTTTCCCCCCAGAAATTCTAGTCATGCTTCAAATATTTACTTTATGTTTCACCCGTCATTCAAACAATTCTCCAGTGTGTCAGCAGACAGCTTCAGGTCTTCTCAGTCTCCCTTCATTCACACACTGTCCTCATGCACCCTCTTGTCCCCAACACTGCAGCGTGATTTCACCACAGGGAGGAAATAATCACGTTTTTAGTTCTTCTCTGGGTTTCTTTGGCAACTCTTGAGTTCATTCACCCAAGGTTTAATGCTTAATAAGGCAGGATAATAAAGTCATTATGCATTATCTTTGTGTACTTTATGTGTACAATTATTTTGACCTAACCAAAGCAATCTGGTTTGAGATTAATCGTATGAAAAGTGGAACTGCACAGACCTCTGCTGGAGGAATGGTGGTGTTGCATATAGTTCATAAGAAAAAATAGGGATTGCAAATATATATTTTTTTTATTTTTAACTTCATTGTCACTAAATCAATTTTAAAAATCAAAGTATAGTGAGATGTTTCCTTTATTCTTTGATTTCTAACTGTTGTATGCAGTTCCTCAAAGTATCATTAGAGAGTGGAAGAACATTTATCGCCATCTTAACATAACTGAATATAGAGGCTTGTGTTGAATGCAACGCCCCCTGGGTGTATCACTCACATGATGATGCATTCCTTATTATAGTTTGTGTCTTTGCCCCCATATCCCCAAATAATACCAACTAGCACACAGTGATATAGTGTAACCTACTAAGCACAATGCAGTCCTCTACTACTTGACCTGAACCCCAAACCCTAGTGCTGATGGCCCAATAAGCCATCCAGCTCTYCAGCATTTGGACAACTGCCAGACCCCACAAATATATCGGGCTCCTAGACCCCACTGATTTAATCCAGTTTACACTTTGTAATGTGAGAAGACGAATGGCAGGCTCTCATTTTAGTCTTGTATCACAAGGCGCCGGGTGTGATCCTGGGAGTCAGCTATCCACGTTCACCTCAGGAGTCCCCAGCAGCCCCAGGTGAACTCTGTACGACAGATTTTTTAATTCATCTACATTTAGTTTTAAAAGTCCATCTGAGTTAATTAACAGTAATATACCAAAGCAATGTAGTAACTTAAATATGCTATGGACAAAAAAAGTAGAGTGCAATTAGTATTTATTTGTTCCTTTGGACAGCTATATGACTCACTGTTGCCTTTATGTCTAAATGCCCAGTTTTATTGTGCTTTTCTGTGGAGGACATTCATCTACAATCCTTAGCCTCATCTGATAGTTGGAAAAACAGGGATTTTCTGCTGTGTTTGCACCTTCCCATCACTATGGATATAAATGAAGATGTGTCCAAAACTGAAGCCAAAATGTCTGTTTTTAGTGCTACGTTGTATTTTTTATTTGGGGCTGCACCCCTTGATGGAAAAGTCCCAGCCCAGACACAATGTAACATCTTTTCAGTATCTTTATCTTCTTTTATTATGCAGGCTCACAAGGAGCTGGTGCCTATCTCCAGCAGTCACTGATTGAGACCCTGAACAGGTCGCACGTCCACCACAGGGACACAAAAATTAAACATGGAAGGACTGGAGCCAGCCACTAGACGGCACTCGTTCATTGTGGCTTCAACTTCCGGATTTAATCCTGCCTCTAGTCACAGTACATCAGTGCTGATTTTATTTCATTTCATAGTTTGATTTTACATCCTTTACGTCTCGTCTATCAATCTTAATATGGACAAGATAAAAAACAGTGTAGACATTTCTTTAAAGATTTTTTTCCAGCAAAATTACAAGAATACCTCTGAGTTTAGATAYTTTCCAGTTTTCTGAGGTTTCTCGGTTTCTATCATTGCAGCTTTTAATTCTGCACACGTCACAGTCGACGTGCCAGGTTTGCACTGTGCCTGTGGTCTATGAAGAGCACTCTGCCAGCACTGGCTCATTGCCAGTCAGATAAAAGCGTCAGCATGGAACTGAAGCCAGTTTAAGGTCAGCGTACCCTCGACCTAATCAAGTAACTCTTACAGAAAAGCAGTGTCACTCAGGAGGGCATTTTCCCCTATCAAAAGCCTTAAAACTCTATGCCTGTATGTTAAACTGAAAACAGTCGGGCCATGTACCCAGACTAGAAATGGAGGGCTGTTTCTCTCCTCAGCACAAACAACTGATATCTGTGACTTGACATGGTTACAGTTTGTCCCAGCGTAACCCACGGATGCAGGTTCAGAGAAGGGTAAGGGGAAATCTGAGACCAGGTCAACATTTCAGCCACTTTCTCTTGTTCTTCGAGCTATTCCCGAGCAAATTTTTTTGAAAGGACACGCTGTCCTGAGCAAGGAGGGTCGTGGCGTTCACATTTTGTGCTCCAGACTCAGGGTACCGCAACAAGAAAACAGCTTTGAGACAAATGAGCTGTTTTGTTCACCTCAACTGAACTTCGTTTGAGGAGTGAGCGCTCAGAGAAAGATGTTAGGCAAGGACATGTTTGAATGTATAACGACCTGATGTGACACACCATCACATTCTTACAGAACTGGCTTTTGTTTTTATGTTACTTTTTATTCATAATGATTTTAAATAGAGGCTTTGTTTGTAAGAGGAACACGTTTCAGCCAGAGGGTACTTTGAACATGTCTGAATTCATAAGAACCTAAACACTCATAATACTAAATATATGTGGTGACATTAACAGAGCAGAGCGTATTATCTTATCTGAATATGGACATTAAAACATAACCCAGTGTTGGACAGTTAGGACAGAAAATCAATGTAAAACTGCAATCATGACCAAATTCTTATCTGCTCACGTCTTCATAAATTTTAAATGGTCATTTTATTATTAACCCTTTAACTATGCATTTAGTTGTTGCGTGTTYCCTAGCATCTGCTGCAGAAACTTCTGCACCTTCTTCCAAGAACCTACAGATTAAAACAACAAATATAATTGACACTCTGTTCTCTGTTCAGTAGGGGTGTAAGAAAATATCGATACACTGAAATATCGGGATATTTCATTTCCCGATACTGTATCGATACTCTAAAGCCCTGTATCGATTTTTTATTAAGGTTTAAAATGTCAACCTTCTTGCCAACCATTCATTTTTATGTTGTAGTTCAGCCTCTGGCCATTAGTTGGCAGCAGTGAGCCAGCCATTTGGCTCCTCTACCTCTTGAGCACCAGAGAGTAAGGGTAACATTAGCATTGTAAGTAAACATTAGCTTTTCTTCTTTTTTTTCAGTAAGAGGTTTTTATTTAATAGAATTTTTGGACAAAAAAAATCGCAATATATCGCAATATATTGCCTTGCTTACAGTATCGCAATATATTGGGATATATCGTATTGTGACCCCTCTGTTATGATGTGTGTCGTATCGCCAAATTCTTGCCAATACACAGCCCTACTGTTCAGTCAAACTTAAAACTTCACCAGGAATCATCAAACGCTGTACAAATTGGTAATTCTAAGTAAAACATACAAAAACGCCTGAAGACATTTTTTTTTAATTCACATGAATTTTCTTTATTGAAGAAAATCCCAGAAAGACACTTTGGTTAGTTTGGTACACTGTGAAGTCACATTGGGCCCTTAAAACACAGCAAATATACACACATTGTACATTTAAATGTTCAAACGTTATTTCTGCTAAGTGCTTCATAATGAGTCAATACATTTATCGATTTTAAAACAAATTACATTAAAATAATCTGTACTTCTATATGAAGTTAATGCTTAACCATGTACAATATTTGTTAATCTGCTTATTTGATTAGCTCAACGCCTTCCAGAAGTTCCCAACCTGAGGGTTAGGGTCGCTGTAAGGCTTTTTAACTAATTGTAAAAGGCCATAACACTAAATAAAAAAAGTGTCAACATTAACACACACACCAGGAAGAAAAAAAACTTGTGATTGTGAAACTCTGTCGCTGGWTCAACGGTCAAAAAGTTTTTGTTTAACAATATAATGCAGGGAAATCAACGTCCCCATATGAGGACACAGCTCTCAGGAGGTTTCAAAAGCTACAATCACACAGACACACACACTTACAGCAAAGTGTGTAAATTAATCGTCATCTCACCAGTTTGAGAAGTCATGAGTTAATTTGCTGGATTTGTGTTTCAAAATGCTGCAATGCAGTGCACAGCAACACCTGCCTATCCCGTTACCCTGTTGTCTGCCGTCACCCTGTGCCTCTTCCACGTATAAACCCACCAACACATGGAAAACAAGTAGAAAGCAAAGAACGCTGGGAAATCGTAGAGAAAGACCACCACGAAGAACCCACCGACCAAGACGGTGCAGATTACAAGTCTAGTTAAGTGGCTAATGGTGTAGAGTATCGTCCACCATAAAAGGGCATCGGACTCCTTTAATTTCTCAGAGGAGTTCAGGTGTTTGTTAGACAGGTTAGACGATGGATCTAAGCTCCTTTTGCGAGTCAATACATGGTCTTCTGTTTGACTCTTTGTCTCCTGTCGAGTGACTGATCTGGCTTTAATTTGGGAGCAGTTTTCCTTATCTTTTGGTGAGGCAAGCACTTGTGTTGACTGAAATAACGGCGCGCCAATCTGGGCATCTGAAGTGGTTGTGAGATTTGAGTTGAAATTGGTTTCTAATTTGAAGAGAAGGTGAGTTTTCTGTGTTGCCTCACTTTGGCTTTTGCTTTGCGTGGAGCACTTGTTGCTTTCGGTCGCCGAGGTTTGCTCTGAAGCTTGGCCAAGACTTAAATTTAAATCTGTTGGTAATTCTGTCAGGGAAACCACACCAGAATCAAAAGCATTGTACTCTGAAAGAAAATGGCAGACATGCATAGCATCTGTCACCATGTTTCTCATTTCATCAGCTGGATTTGTTCGCCGACTGGAAGTTTGGACCTCTCGAATGAAAATCTCTTCCCAGATCTTGCTCACAAAACCTTCTCCAAACCTTTCTATAACCATCTGCTTCTTTCTTGGCTCCAACACTTTAAGTGCTGCACTATTTACTGCTGTAACTGCACCTTTTGTTCCGATAGATGGTTTTTCATTTTCACCAATTGAAGAGCTCTCAACTTGTGCTGACAGTTGTGCACTTGTACACTTTTCAATTTGAGGGCTTTCTCCATTACCCATCATCTCCCTCAATGCCTCTATTTGAAGCTTTCCAATACCAATGCTCTTATCTTCCGGACTCAGATCTTCAGTTCTACCTGACTCTTCAGGTTGGTGCTCTGTTGAAGTGGCTTTCATTGGAGCATTCTTCTTGGCCGTATCATCTTCTGGGCTTGTTTCACTTCTTGAATTGCCATTTTGGCTCTTCAAATCTTGTTGGGAGTGAGTCAATCTCATTTCAATCACCTCTAAGAGGTTTGGGTTGCATTTGTCCGTTGAACCAATTGGCATATCTTGGCTAATTTGGAAAGTCTTTTTCGATTCTGTTCTATCCACTGTGGGTCGGAAGTTTGCTGAAAGGCTTATTTCCCGTTGCTCCTTTGCTTTTCCATCACAACTCAACCTGTTTCCATCTCCTAACGGATTGGACTCCGATACATTTTCAGATTTCAGATCGGCACTTTTCTCCATTTCTTTCACCAAGTCCTTTTTGTTTTGAACACTTGTACCACAGGCCTCCAACATTAATATTTTCTCAATTTGCCCAGAACAATTGTCTTGTAAAACTTCATGTTGACATATTTGCTGGTGTGATATTTTTATAATTTCTTTACCTTCACCCGTTAGTCCTGCCTCTTGGCTTTCTACCTCATCTTTGGTTTCCTTCGGCCTAAATATCTCCTCACATGTAGACGCTTTATTTTCTGTATAATCTGTCATGATTTCCTCCTCCACTTCTTGTCTGGATACAGAAAAGACATCCCTCGCTCCATCGTTTTTCTCCAGTCCAATTGTCTCCTCAAATGCCAGCATGTCATCTGCTGCATTGTGTGCAGTGGCTGTAACCTCTCGATCCCCGCTGGAAGAAAGACCCTCATCCTGCCTCGCATCTTCTGAGATCATATCTGTTGTCTGCGACTCCCTTGAGCTCGTTACCAAGTCAGTTGTGTGCAAAGCGAAGGGCTTGACTCCTCCTCCTGTTCCTGCCGCTATTATTCCCCCACATTCCTGCTCCCAGACCTCCTGCTCGTGACACTCACTTGTGCTGTCAGCGTCCACGGACACAGGCGGCGCCCTCTCGAGGCTAAATTCCAGTGGAGTGTCTGTTACGGAGTTTGTCTGTGACCTTTGGGATGCAGCTTTAGTCGCTCCGTTATCATCTCCTAAGCTGCTGACATATGCCTCCTCTGGCTGATGATCTTTAGTGTTTAAGGCAACAACAGCCGACAATGGCTCACAAGTGTCTGACAGCGGCTGACATGCAGCTAAGGGGTGTGTGGCAGTAGCCGTATCCGTCCCCGCCTGCAATTCTTGAAACTCTTGACTTTCTGCTGAATATTGAATTTGTGGCTTCCTATCATTCGAGGGAGATACCAACGCTGCTGTCTGGAGCCATTCTGACTCTGGAAGATCGGAGCGGTCCTCGCAGCTGGGCCCATTAAGAAAAGCCTGCCACACATCACTCACCGAGGCTTCTTTCCTCTCGGCTTTGTTTGTAGTTCCCCACGCATCATGAGCAGGCTTTTCTTCTGATGTGTTTGGCAAAGTCATTTTAGCTCTTCCAGCCAAGATGTCACCTACATCAGCAGTCTCACACCTCTGAGGTGGATCATTGTTCCAGTCTAATGGAAGCAAAGGAATCTGGTGGTAGGTGAGCACTTGAGGACTCTCGCTCGATTGGATCTTCTGGCATTCATAGGGAAGGCTGCCAGAGTCACCCCAAGGAGCTGGCACACGCTGGGAACCTCTCTGATCGTGGGCTGAGTCATTTAGTCGCTGCATCGTTTTGGAGAGGTAGTCCTGCACGCGAGCCAAACGCGTCGCTCTGCGCCTGCTTTTCACGCTTTCCACCTGTCACGAAAAACAGAAGTCAGAGGTCAAGTTTAGTGTTTACTTGCCTAACAAGCCAAAATCCAGCTCATCATTAAGGTCGCCAGTTTCAAAAAGCATTGGCAGTCATTGATTATTATTATTATTTGACATGGTACATTGCTATTATGATGCAACATAGTGCAACACTGCTGAAACCTCTTCACAACTGCATGTTGGTGCACATCAGTTTCCCTGCATGTGTATAAGCAGGTTGCATTTATTAATAGATGTTTACATGTGAGTGTTTTTAGGCCTCCTCTCAAGTGTCAAGCTAGCTGACTTTCCATACCACCCTGTGAATAACTCAACACGTTTACGACATACATCCCTGTTGTCACTCGTGACCTCATAAAACAAACACATGAACCTGAGTTGCATCGTGATAAATAGCTATAAYTGGCTGATAATGCTTCGAACGTTTCGTTAAAAGGTGCTTTTACTTTGAAGGGTGAGACATGAACTTTACCCAAGGTTTAGGTTCTTCATTATGAAGAAGCGTCTCTGCAGAAATCGTCGTCTCTCTGCCAGACTTTACGAGTTTAGGCGCTGCCTCTAAGTTTGCTAAAAAWAAATAAATAAAAAATAGGGCAGAATTGATTTGCACACTTTAGCACCTGTAAAAACATGKTTTTTTTTGCAGATTTGCATATTTACACATATATAGGTGCTTCATACACACCAGCCAGATGAGTGTTAATTGTCCCTTTGTTCTTCTCCTCTGAATCTTCACTCCTGTTGATAAATGAGTGGTGAAATTAGAAGGTCAGACATTTCAGACAGTTTTGTTTTTATAGAAATTGAGTTTTTTTATCAATTTTGTTTTTCTTACTTTATTGGGTAAATGGGTTTTAAAAATAAACCGACTGACCTTGACATTAACTGCCCCAAGAATGTCCCTACTTCTGTACATTGCTGCATGACCAATGGTATGTATGGAACAGTCGTTTAAGAAATTGTTCAAATCTTTTAAAGTGGGGGGTCTGCGAAAAGGTTATGAGCTATTAATATCCTAGCTCTTTGAATGATCTCAGTTATTTTAACTGTGAGAGGTTTAACAAGCTGAAAGCTTCCAAACTTAAATTGGTGCCATCTTAAAACAACGCCACTCTCAAACATTTTATGCTAAATGTATGTAAATAATTATTTTGATTAATATATGTGGTTAGCAGCTAGCAGTGGCACTATGAGTGCAACCTTGTGCACTTCCTGTATCATGATGTTTGGCTAAAATGGGGAGGAAAAAGTTTGTTTTTTCTGCTGCAGCAGTGATGCGTCATGGAAACCTGCACAGAAACCTGACCATAAAAGGGGATCTTGTGTCCCGAGGGCCAAACTGCTCTTACTGAGTTGTTACATAACTGTGTAGTGTAAACACACAGTGGGTCAAGCAGCAGCGTTTATTGCTTCCACCTTCTTCTAATGAGAAGAACAGCATAGTGGAAACAGAGCACTCAGATTACAGCTTGGGGATCTTTTTTTAAACTTCTGCTTGTTTTTAGGATGGCAAATCAAAAAAAGTCCTTGATAAATTTAAGGGTTCTTGAGCATAGMTTTATTACCTGTTAGATTTGAGACAGCTCCTCTTGCTCCTGTAGCTGCTCTCCTCGTCTGTTTGGGCCACGCTTGTTTGGCCCTTCTGGTGGCAGAACAGCACGTAGTTCATTTCTTGGTTATTAGCCCAGAACGTGCCCTCTGGAGTTTCGTAGCGAAGACAAAACTCGAGTCTGGTGCCTCCGGTTTCGAAGGGAGGAACCAGAGTGTAGCTGAAGGTGAACCTGTCTGTTTTCCTGTCACTGGAGCCGGGGATGTACTCTGCCTGCAGGTCAAAGTAGCCCCTCCAGCGATCCAGACTCACCCGGGCATAGACGCTCTTGCTGTAGCAGAGGTTGAGCACCCTGATGATGCCACGGAGGGTGGAGGTTCCCGGGAGGAGCTCTATGCTCTCCAGCTCAATCATCTGTGCGTGCAGCCTCTGATCCAGCTCCTCTGGGGTGGAGGGGACCGTGAACAAACAGGATAGGTAGAACTCCTCTGCCAAACGGGTCACCTCTCTTCCTTTAGCCCAGCTGACCTCKGGCTCTGTCACGTCGGCATTGTCGAACTCCTTCACCGAAACCAGGTTGAGGCCGAAAGCGTCAGCGAACGACACCTTCCTGCGAATGACCGGAGGGGGTTCTGGTTCGGAATCCTCGTCCGTTTCCTCCTCCGTGGTGGAGCCTGCAGGAGAGGAGGAGGCCTCCATTCCTTCAGCGTCTTGCTCCTCTCCTCTTTCGTCCTCCCTTGCCTCAGCCATCGGCCCGGCCTCTTTAAAAACTTGGACGTGGAGTGCGTCCATGATGTGCGGGGGGTCTGAGAGGCAGCTGTTAGGCTGTCTGTCCGCCTCACCGGGTGGCACCCAGCAGAGTGTCCCCAGCCTGGTCACAATGATACCGTATCGGGCAGGAGAACGGGGGGGAGGAGGGGGCAGGAAGAGGACGTGACTTGACAGACGGAGTTCRGTTACAGCCGAACACCACGGGTTCGAGCCAGGCCTAATAATAGGACCCAGTGAGACGGGGMTGACTGTTTACCCTTTCAGTTAGTCCCTCAGAGTATGTCAGCTAGCAACAAAATGAATGAAACACAGCTCAACAAACACTGATTCCCAACTGTTTATCATCCTATTGTCACTACTTAGTTTAATTTACTTCACTTTGTAATTTAACTTAAACTGTCAACAAGCTGAATTAATTTGTAAGTATYTCTCCTGTCAATGTAAATAAAAATGTATAAATCTGAAGTGTCCACTTACAGAGTGCATCATCCGCCTCTCTTTCAAAGACGGAAAGAAAGACAAAAACAAGGGGACGTCGAGCCCCGCTTGCATTCACTACATACACAGAACACGACACGGGTCAGGTGATGGGGTACATGACCCTCTATGAACAACAGAGCTAACCAAGCCCATTGTTAGGCGATGGCCCTCTTTTGCATGTGACTAACCTGTTTGTCCATGTGGAGGCAGTGCTTATAAGGCTGAGTTCACCTGAAACTCATCAGACTGAAGAAGTCTCTTGGAGGAGAGACGAAACGTTTCACTAAAGAAGAACCYATCCAGTACTTATTTTTTCTTTTTGATTTTTTTCTACCTGGATTACTGAGATGYATCAGGACAATGTCAATTTATTCATTGTTTGTTGCGTTTGGAAGGACTTTCTGGAAAAAACTGTCATGATAGAAGACTTTCTCATCATTATTAATATGAACWTCCTGTTTCTCTTTATGTTTCTGCGTGCCTGTGCATGTCTGTTAGCAAAATATCTCATGAACCACTTGATGGAATTTAATAAAACTTGCARGAAGTTGTTGTTAGATGTATCTCTACAACTGCTTAACTTTTGGAGTCAACCTGATTCAAGATGGATGCCACAGCAAAGTGAACTTAAGAACACAACAATGGCTATAACCAGATGTTAAGCTAGAATTTAATAGAATAGTAGCTGAGAGTCATCCTACATCTCGCAATATCATTTGACCCTAAATGTTGGACTGACAGTTTGTCCAACTTAACATAAAGGTTAATGTTTTGGGTTTAAAATGTAGTCTGGTAATCAAATTACATCATAACATGGTTAAAATAGTAATATTAATTGCTAAAGATAATAGTTTAAAAATAAAAACATTTAATTTGGCCTACAAATGTTAATATGCTTTAATATGTATGTAGGAAGTCATCAGTAGGTGGCACTATAAGATCAAAATAAAACTAATGTAAATATTCAGGTCAAAATAAATAAGTTTTTAAGCTTTTTGTGAATTTATTTTTCCAAGTATTAAGTTTGATTCACATAAACTCATTCCACACGGAGAATAGTAAGGAAATAKGTTTTAAACGTCACTTTAATATGGTGGAGAAACCAACAGCAGGCTGGAGGAAGGAGCTGCACTGTCTGTGTGTCTGTGCTGTTTGAAGTGGGTCAAAACAAGCATGTAAACCTTAAAAGATAGGGAAAAGACATGTTTCTCACTGTGTTAGCCTTGTGTGTTGGGCTGACATCACAGCAAGATATGATGACCCAGGCCGTTTCAGTATGTGGTTTTAAATCGGATACATACAGTGGGGAGAACAAGTATTTGATCCACTGTTGATTTTTCAGGTTTTCCCACTTGCAAAGCTTGTAGAAGACTGTAATTTTAACATAGGTACTCTTCAACTGTGAGTGATGGAATCTAAAACAAAAATCCAGAAAAATAATTTGTATGATTTTTAAATAATTAATTTCCATTTTATTGTGTGAAATAAGTATTTGATACACCAGAAAAATTAAACTTAATATTTGGTACAGAAACCTTTGTTTGCAGTTACAGAGATCAGACGTTTCCTGAGGGAAGGAGGTTGTTGGCCAAAATCTCACCATACATGGCCCCATCCATCCTTCCCACAATATRGTGCAGTCGTCCTGTCCCCTTTGCAGAAAAGCATCCCCAAAGAATGATGTTTCCACCGCCATGCTTCACGGTTGGGATGGTGTTCTTGGGGTTCTTCTTCCTCCAAACATGACGAGTGGAGTTTAAACCAAAAAGTTCTATTTTTGTCTCATCAGACCACATGAC